AAAATAAAATAAAATATATTATATTCTTTTTTCAATTATCTTTAAAATCAAGAAAATTAGTCTTATACTAATTATTAAAAAAATATAAATAATTAAAATAAATAATTATTAACCTGAGTATATCTTACCTGTATTGAAATTTAAAAAAATATAGTAGGTAAGTTTTAGTATTAAGAATAATTAAAATAATTAATTATCTTATTTTTAACTATTCTGCAGTTAGATATAAAGCAATCTTATACCTAACTGTTAACCTGACGGCAGTGTATAAATTTTTCCATTAACCTACCCTACCCTGGCCGTTAACCACTCTATATAATAGTATCAAGCAGATATCTTTTATATGGGATAGTAGGATGGGCCGTTCAACCGTTGTTTATATTATTAGTTGTAGAAATACTGATGATTAAGAGGATCCTTGGTAATACTGCTCAGATAAAAAACCTTCTAAGCTATCTTAGATATTTAGTAAGATCTGCCAACGCATAATTTCTTGGGAGTATATGAGTAATGTTTACAACCGAGTGCATCTTATGCTATGTACCGGGAGTGGAATATGCTGAAAAATAAATAAGAAAAAGAAAACTGCTCTTTCTGATCTAGATTAAAGCAAAGGCTTAAACGAAGCGAAGATTAACTGTTGATGAAAGAAAACAGAGAGCGATGTAATGTATGGGCAGGTAGAATCTATAGCTTAATTTGATCTCGAGGGCTGGATTAAGATTTTCCGGCCCCGTAGCTGTGGTGTTCTTAAATGATAATATATTAAATATTTCAAAAACCATATTCTAGCTGTCAGGAAGCTCGTGCATATTGTCTATAGTTTTATTTTAAGGGTATTTTCTTTGATATAAAGGAATTGTACTACACGCTGGAATTGATGTGATGTTTCATGGAAGTCTTTTCTATCGGATTGCGAACTGTCTATTCAGTTGTATGACCCGGCAAAATCATCTGAATGCTGATAGTTACCTGGAAGTTGTATATAGAAAATGTGACTAGGACTGTTTCGGTTTGTGTATGTCTTGTGTTACCAGTTTAATAACTTGAAAGTACTGGTTGTTCCGCTGGCTGTTGATGGGTTCAGTTGATGCCTACTACCTCTATGTATCCCATTTTAGAGCTATCATCGGTTGAAGTAACTTTTGGTACTTTGATGGAATGCTTTAGCGTAGCCTTCTCGCCCGGGACTCCATAGCATGGAAATGAATTCTTATGGGGAGTGGCTAATGATCTATGCTGCTCTGAGTCATAGGACATACTCGACTGCAGACTGGTCGGATGGTATAGCGCGTTCTCGCAGATGGTACTGCTGGTAGGTGAAATGGTGTGCAAAGACTGGAACAGGACCCGCGACTGTGTGGTCGAAATCACGTGAGTCAGGCAGTATGACAGGGTACAAGTCCGGGTCGTCCCTCAATCCTAGGATATTTATAAGCATCCCACGTCTTGGCGGATTTGGGTGTCTGCGGTTGCTATTGATTCTTCATAGCGGGCTGCTTCTCTAACCCAACTTCGACCTGAATACACTTTCGGCGGACGGATCAACAATGGAAGCAGTGCGCCGGATAAAATTCCAAATTCTTTACTAGCAAGTGCAGCAGACTTCTCTCTACGTGGCAAAATGCTCATAGGAATGCAAACAATGAGCTGGTGAAGATAACGGTTTCATCTAGTTCTCAAGTGCTTAACATGCAATCCCACGGTCAGTCGCGAGTATATCTGGTAGCCAACCTCACAAAACAGATAACAGTAACTCCCTTTGTGCCTTCGTACTAAGTCATTATGATGCAGCGAAAAAGGATTGAAGGAAAAAAGTTTCTTTCACCCTGTATTTTTAATCCTGACAATCTCTTCTGTGCAAGCTGCAAGGATCGATACATGAAGTTGCTGTTTATGGGAAGAAATAAACTTACCTTCAGAGAGTTCCCTGGAGCTTGACCGGTCTAGTCGGGACGATGCGCTCCACCCCCCCGGAGAATCAAGTACGAAGCTCTCGGGATTGAAGGCCCAGCTAACGAGAAAAGTTAGGGAGTTAGATAGCATTCACGCTATGGGTCACCTGGTTAAACGCACTCAGAGTATCATATTCCCTCATACACACGACACCTGGCAAGCCATAATTTACCACCAAAGAGGAACAATAGCAGACAAAGGTGGAAGTATAAATAGTAAATACAGGATAGAACAATCAAACAACAAGTAACAAGCAAAATTTAGTGTACTAATGGACTGACGGGAATATCTTCCATAGGAAAAAGCCCATCAAACACTGTTTCGAATTCTGGCAGTTTGCTGCCGCTACTGAGTCCAAACTCGAACCGGCTGAATCCTTCATAATCGGAATCCATGTGGTGCTCCTGCCTCTGCCCCATGCTCTCGTCCTTGTTCAGATCTAGGCCACAGAGACCCGGGCTCTGGCCCGTCGATGTGGGGGACTGAGGTGTGCTGGACGTCGAGCATAAATCCGGCGTCATCACAGGCTCTGTGGTCTCCATCGACATTCCTGGCGAAGAGTTGTTCTGAGGCGGGTTGGCCAGGCTCAATGTCTGCAATGCTCGGTCGGAATCAGAGCGAGCACAAGTTTGCTGGTACATCGGGTGGACCTGTCGATTTGCCGAGGACAGAGACATTATTGTCGTTGGAGGCACTGTAGCACCACTGCTCAATACCGTGTGAGTTTCAAGCATATGGAAAGGCATTGTGTGAGCGGGGATGACCGGTGCTGAGCTCATGCGGTCCCAAAACTGGCGGACTAACATGGTGTTCATCTCACCCATTGTGGCGGCTGGAACCTGCGCCGGCCACCTTAGTCCGCCCACGGCCTGGGTGAAGTATGATGACAGTTGGCCCGACGGCGCGAGGACGACGCTGCGATACGATGGCGACTTGACATTCCCGCTGTATGTGGGTGGAGGGGCCCCATAGGTACTCTGGTGGGGGCCCAATGAATTGGTCACCAGTTCGGTGCGCATCCCCTCGGAGACGGAGGCACGCAGCCCAGACAGGTCCAGACTAATCTTGCGGATGCCGTTGAGAGAGACCGGGGAATTGAGGCGGGAACGGCTAGCCCGACGCTGGTGCAGGGCACTCGGGCGGTCCTCCGCAAAAGTGGCTATGAGGTTGTGGTAGAACTCGATCTGCAGCTGCATCAACTGAGCGTGCAGCATGCGGTTGACTTTGTCCTGGTAGCGGCCATCGACCTCTTCGTACATGGCCTCCTGTTCAACGATGTCCCGGCTGATTAGGAGAGCCTTGCCAGTCCGCTGCTTGTGCAGCCTGGAGGCCCGGTTGGCCGATTCCACGCGAGCATCTAAGCTGCGGTCCTTGCGGCGGGAGGCGGCTATGAAGGCACTGTCCTCGTCAGTGGGTTCGCAGGAGGAGAAGAGAAGTGTCTTGATAGCAGCCTACCGTTCCTGGTTCTCCTCCTTTGTCCGGGCATGAGGGCAAACGTCAACATCGATGGCGGGGGAGCCCATTGTGAGTGGATGGAGCGAACTGTGGCGGGTAAGCAGTGTGGTGTACGTATGGACTGGCATGGGTAAGCAGTGAGACGAGAAGATGCTGCCGGATCACCAGTAATGGAGGGAAGGAGAATGTTTTACCACGCCCTTGTACACATAGGATGCGAGCACATAAAAGTAAAGGGTGTAAGACGGGGGCTAAAGCTAGATAAAACGGCAGTCAATGAGGGGCACTCAGAAGTCTAGGAAAGCTAGCACCGAGGGTGGTCTGAGCAGCGAAGTTAGCTGTCGGGTCACAGCAGTTCAGCCAGCCAAGGGCCGAGCCTAGACGAGGTGCAGTATCGCCTGGTGAAGGAAGAGAAACTCTTGGAATGGATGGCCGAGGATTGAGTAGTAACGAGGCCTTCTTTCTCGGCAGAATATGTAATACGACTTCTTGAGGGTGCTATCTGCCGCACGGCTTAGAACATAGGCTGTGATTATCAGCCCGGGTGATTCATGAGCAGTTCCCTGCAGTTCCCATCATTAGCCACTAGCAAGCCAAGTATGTCTGGATCTCCTTACCAGGGCATGAGAAAACATGCACAAAATAAGCAGTTAAGACTACCCGGGATTAGTGAAATTGCCACGAGAGGCAAAAGAAGGGGCTCAGGGGATGGCAATGGCAGTAGATGCCGAGATAACAAAAAAAATCTCAATGAACAAAGAATAATAGGAAAAATAAAATCATGACGAGTTAGTTACTTTACTTAGTGGCTCTGTGCGCTGGAAAGGGCAAGTGAATAGACGGCCATGGGATATGGACATGAATGGATATTCGGTACCGAGGCAAGGCAAGAAGTATGATATTCCTGGGTCTGAGGCGTTAGCTACCAACCTATTTACTACTAGCGGTGATTGGGTGGTGGTCCTATGGATTGGGTTGGGGGTGATGGTTGGGGTGGGGCGTGGGTTGGGGGGCAATTATTGGCCTGATCATCTGGGGAGCATTTTATATTGAAACATAGGTGAGGTATCTAGATATTGATAGTATTTATCTTGTTAGATTGAGTATGAAGGGGGCAAAGCTTGCTCATAGGCAAGCAAATCAGTAGTTCAAATACCTGGGCAGTATATTCCGTGGTATTTAGCAGTGAAGCTGACAATCTCACGCTATAGACGAGTGGACTACTATCCAATAATCAAGCGAGATAGGCTCATCCAGACAAGCTGTGTAGAGAAATTCCCACATTAGGACATGTTGAGGACGATGAGATCCGCTTTGCCCGGCTGACTGTCATCCCGTTGCTAATCGGCCGAAGAGAGGTACATTACAGAAGTGACATAAAGTTCTAGCAGGTGGTGGAGATCGATGATCACAGTGGAGGAGGGTCAAGATCATCTCAGATCGATCGAGGTTTACGAGTAGCGCGTACGGCCGGATTGCGGATGAGAACCCGCGCAATTGTTACCCTCCCTCATACGGTAACGATCAATGCTGTCGACCAATGATGTCGTGGAATCCGCCTTGGCCAGTCTCTAAACGAGTTTAGTCTGCTCGTGAAGGCACTACCGGAGTTTAAGTCACTCGCATGTACTTCCCTCTGCTGGTTGGTCGGACTCACAATGCATCAGGTCCGAGTGCAGGTACCTGCTCGGTACTTCCAGCCACTCATCCTGACAAGATCGATCGTTGTCCACGATCACGGGGATATTTCTTCCCCGATTCTTTTTTCGCTTCGTGCACATCTTCTCCCCTCTTCTCTCATCGTCTTGAGTTCTTGTCTCCTTGTTTTTAATTGCTTCCATTTGATTTATTACTTCTCCCTTCCGATTGCGGCCACCTTTCAAAGGATTGTTCAAGTCCGCTGCTTGTCCTCCCTTGCTAGACGCCATCTGAGTTTCGCTCTCCCACGGAATCCATTCACTTCCCATGTCCTAGAGCTGGCTCTGCAAGCACACTGCGCCTGTTGCTGGTCCCATGGGTCAACACCCTCCTACTTTCTGGTCGGCCCTTGTTTGGGCGACCCGGACTTGTCCCGGCGCTGGATGCCTCGTCGAACACATCACCCCTTGGCACCGGGAGAAAGTGGATGCTGGTGTACAGCTCTGGCCCGTCTGGTTGCTGAGCCAAGGCCTGCCCGTCCATGTCGGAGACCGCGATGGTGTCAATCACGACAATGATGCGCATCCGCAACGATAGTCAAATAGCATTGTAGCCCACCAGGACCCATCAATCTGGAAAACAAATGTAAGGATCTAGGGTGTCTCTCATCCATATGTCCGTAAGCTTGCTTGAAGGTATCCTCTATGTGGAAATAGATAGGCCGTCCGGCCGCGCGCGGAACATGAGTTACGTTAGCAACAGTATGGTAACCTCAAGAACTTCCATATACGTGTCCACTTCTGTACACCGACCAAAGGCTTTAGTCAATCACCTGTCATGACTGAGCAGCTCTTATCTAGAAGCGCTTATCGGTGGATTCAAAAAAGAAGCCATTGTATGAAAAGATCAACCAGTCATGGGCAGGCCACTATACGGTATTACTCTCTATTACTGTCACGCGCTTTTTGTGCGACGCCTAAGAGAGCACATGCACCGGATGGCGCTTCCGCCCGGCATGACAACAGTAGATGTGATCAACAAGCCGTCGTATGCCCGCTAATATATTGGTTGCACCTAACATATCGAGGGGAAAAAAAAGCGAACAAAAGCTTAAATCAGGGGTTTAATTTTTTACCACTTATGCTAGGTAGATGATAGCACTCAGGCTGCACATGAGTGGGTAAACAAGTCAGCAGGCACAGCCTCCAGGTGCCCACAGCACATATCAATCCCAAGATCATTTAGTATTGGTGGTAAACGGATTTCTTATCGGTAGATAGATATCCGGAGGAATGCAGGGCAACTTTCCTCACCAATGCACCCAGAGTGTCCAACTATGAACGATACCCCAGAAATATACCCGCTTGGCAGGGACAAGGCTGAGTCCAGTCGGTTAGTTTGGAATACCCTCGATCGTTATGGCAAAGTACTTCAAAAACCCACAAGGCTCAATGCACAACACAAATTTCTTATCGACGTTGTCGACTGCCTCATCGATAGCGCAATACCACTTGACAATATCTCCACCGTTGCCGATGTCGGAACTGGAACTGGGTGCGTCTACTTCCATGGCTGTATGAAAGCTCCACCCTGATTTATGGACATAAGAATATGCCTTGTTGAAGCCCGGGATTCCTTGAACACCAAACGCTTCTCCCCAGACCGCTGCTTCCACGGTTTTGATATATCTTCTACCCAGTTTCATTTATCCCTTCCCGCAGGGATTGGGTTCTCAGTGCAGGATATCTTGAACTCGTTCCCAGTCGAGCATCATAATCGTTATGACTTGGTATATGTTAAGATGCTTGTTACAGCAATTAAAAATACCGAGTATCGGGATGCCGTGAAGATTCAGTTGACAATGTTAAGTATGTACTGGCTCTCTTTCCCTTTTCGTTTTGAAGACACGGTATCAATGGTAACTAAATTCCCAGAACCCGGTGGCTCCGTTCCATTGGGTTAAGCTCGACTGCTCTGCCCTCCCAAATTTCTAAGGATTCCCAAAATCCTAGCTCGGCTATTATAGTATCCTCATGGCTGAGATTCTTTCAGCTGAATGGAGTCAGTGAATCTGCTCCGTCCATAATAGAGGACGCATATGACGATTCAGGGCTGGTGGATATCGTTAACACGTCCTTTTCCCTGGATGGACGTGGCGAGGACCTAAAAGCTAAGGCGCAGAAATGGCAGATGCAGGCCTTTCTGGCGGACACAGAAACGATTATGCTAGAAATCGGGTTGGAAGGCGATTCTGAGGAGGCGCAACAGAGAGCTGAGGAAGCGAATAGAAATCTGGGTACTCATTTCGCTGAAGGTGGTGTTGTGGGATTCTGCTTTGGCAGTGTAGTTGGTCGGAAAATGGTCTCATATGCCCTGATAAAGGATATTTTAGGACATCTTACACTGGAACCGGCTGGCTCACGCGCTGTAAGGGTGGCTCTTATGGTCTTATTCCGACATCAATAAGATGAATCAGAAGTTAATAGCTTTCATGTGATGCCTGGATGATTCTTAGAGACTATCCCTGTAGCTGTTTCATGAGAATCGTAGTTTGTACTCAAATTGAGTAATGTTCAATCGGGATGTGCTTGTGATAGAACGGATAGATTTAAAGTGACCAAGGTCATCGGGATGACGTATTTCAGTGGCTATCATGGTCGTGAGGTCATCGATAGTGATCCTACCCCTTTCCGTCGCGTATAAGATAGTGATCCCTTACGATGTAGTACTGAACCCCCAAAGATTAGTCTATTATGTGGATTTAGGCTACTTTTGTCAATGATAAACGAATCTACAGTGCGTTTTGGTTGATTCCTTACCTAGTTAACAGGCTTTCTACTCTCACAAGTACATCGTATCACACTACCATACTGTAGTCTGGAAGATTAATTCTACTATACTGAATAGCAAGAAATTCAGTTAATAGAATTTAATAATATATTGAAAACTGCTATATATCTGTTGCACCAACCCCCAGTAAATTAAGAAACTATGAGATATATATCATAATAATATCAACAATAATAAATGTATCCAGAAAATGGAAAGCCACTCAAGCTCCAGCTATATTTATATGGGCTTTTCGGACCTCCCGAGAGTGAACCTTTTGACTACACGCGAAGATAGCTGCCCTAACATGGACTTTGACAACTCAAGTTGGAACAGCACTGAACTTGCAGTTCAATTTCAGAGGCCATGTCAGTAACCCATGGGCTACAAAAGAAAAGACATAGAGGAAAACTAGGGAACCAGGCTGTCCCTGGACCTCCGTCCTATCAGAACAGAGACTATCCATCTATAATATACGCGTCCCTGTTTTACTATTATTTTTTAGCATGCACTACTCCCTCAACAGATTCCTTTTTATAAGCCCAGACGGATAGTGACTAAGGTATTATATACCAGTCTGAAATTAGTAGTGAAATGAAGTAACTGTAACTTACAACCAACTGTCTTGGTTAGTAAAGTTGTTATCTCGGAAGCTTCCGGCACGATTAGAAAAGACTTCGGCCGAGACACTCAGATCTCTGATTGACCTTTGACCTTTGCGGCTATCCCTTAAATCGGAGTGCAAACGAACTAACTACACTCCATCAGTCTCCCGAGGCGGCAGCGACCGCAATAACCAGAAAAGTTGACTTTCGTTGATTTACGAGAAATTCCGCCTGAATAGAAGTGGATGTTCAAACAGGCCAGGTTAGTCAGATCTAACAAAGCATCCCAAAGTAGCGACAGGAGATTCTAGCAGCTTATAGCAAAATTTTTGGTAAAAGCTACCTATGCTGCAACTTTTTCGAGATCACCGCACTTTCAGAGTAGTACTACAGAATAATCATGCCAGCTTTGTCCAGACAATAAGATTGAGACCACGAGAAGACATATAACAGATTAGTATATGTGTCTTTGTGGTGGCTTCTCGGCTCGAGGAATCCGACTTTGGCGGTTTGTCTTCGGTCAATTTAATTTTAGTCCGGTGAGTTTGATGATATTAGATGCGTGTGGATTCAGCCTGCAATGGAATAGCACTCAGATCTGTAGTCCATCTTTTCCGGGTTGTTAGAATAGTCACGGACCGCAAGTTGAGTTGGCCGGTATTGAAGTACATAAACCCCCACATAACTTACCAGCTTATAATTGTGGCGCAGACACAGCCTCCAAACACTGCGGAGTATGTGCGGGTGCATGCGCGCAGCAATACGCTTGTGACTAAGTTCGCCGCTAACTGACGAGATATTAGTACCAGTAGTATCCACTCTCTTCCTTTCGACCAATAACATGCTTTTTGGTCTACATTAAAAATCTCGAGGAAAACGCAGATCGAATGCTCTGTAGCAATACCTAGAATCTATATGTCTCGCATCACATTGAATTCAGCAGTACAGTAAAACTTTCTCAGACCAATTTCGTGTAAGCTTTGTGTGGCACGAGAAGACCATATTTTGGGAAAGACGAAAATCTGCGGAGACTTCGAGGTCCCTGGAATTAGAAGGGGAACTGAGGCATGCACTATTCTACGATGCAAGGCTGCGTCGCACGGATGCCGCAGTCATTGTGCATAACGCCACCTACGGCCCGTGCGCGTGCTAGCCTAATTCCTCAAAGAATACTACTTATGGCTTTTGGTTTCCGGTGGTTGCCTGTAGCCCACTCTCTTCTTAGATCACTTGCTGATAAAAGTGGTAGCTGGCTTGAAGTAGGGTATTGGATCATACTCGTACCAATGTCGAATAATCCAAGTGAAAGTGGCACAAACAACACTCAATCGAGCGAAGAGGTATGCAACACAATGCCCACGAACATACACGTGCTGATCAAATCATAGGTCACACAATTCAATGCAAGCAACCTACACCATATGGGAGTAGCAGAAGTCGTTCATGTTCGTCAAGGCCAAACCGAAGTCCGCAGCAATCGCTTCCAGGACGACACCGTACTCGCCTTCCAAACCAATTCAAATGTAGGACATTCGGTCCAATCTGGCGATGCAGAGTAAGTCTTCATGTCATGTTACAGCAATTTAGCATAGGAGAGGGACAACAACATCTGACCTAGGACAACAGAAGCTATTGTACATTGTTCAACAATATCCCTGAAAATCAACTAGGGCACGCCTGCCATTGTCATAAGGACACTGAAATCGATAATACCTCATTTTTATTCAATGGAGATATAGTGGATGGTAGTGAGCCTTCGTTAGTAAGGAAACATCACCTCCAAGGTGGCTCTGTTAGGAACCATAGCAAATTCGTTAATGGGGATCTGGATCGGGAAGCCTTTCTGGCTTTTTTCTGCCAGCAATGACAGTATAGGCAGGTGATGAGCCCGTCCCGAGCAGGCGATTTCATCGTGCTTTCTAGTATCATATTGAAGGTTGTGTTTTATTTTCTATAACAGCTATTGCTTTATGTGCTATATGTACCAACATATATAGCCATGATTGTTAGCCACAAAGCCCTTCCATCATGTCCTTGAATATTCCATAAGAGACAATGAGATCTCTCATCATAATATAATGGAAAGTAGCATCTCCCAGTATCATTCTATTACAGAGCAGGCGCTCATAGCGTGTCGCTTTCCTAAATAGGCTGGAGGAAACTTAGTTGGAAGCAAAATAACATCACATGTACCAAACAAGAGCAAATTCAAATAAGACGAGGAAAAGCCTTCCAAATGTATCTAGAAGGATAGCATGATCAAATAACTATAAATATAAACTAGAAACCATAGAACAACAAAACCGGGGAAATTAACTATAAAGACGCATATTAGCGAGCACATACGTCAAGTTTATAGAGTCCGATTGGCAGCCAAGATGCTATTATTGTGGACACACACCAAGATGGCACTTTTCCATTTAAAGTTGTACCATCGGAATTCGTCTTGTCATCGGCCGAAAGCAAGGACGGAGAGTCCCTCACTAACTGGCGGAGTAGTATCGTATGTAAAGGCAACCGTTGTACTTAAATGTACCTGCCCTTTTCAATGGGAGACAGTTTATCAGGGGCCTCGCTGAGGTGGCTTGAGCCTGGGCTTGGCGTCCTGATCGTTCCCAATACCGCATTATTTTTACTGCTGACGCAGTCAATTCCCCTCCCCTAATTCAACAACTCTCCCCTTTTTTTTTTCTAAACTGACAGGAAGTGCCCAGTGCAGGTCATCTTGATAATTACCCATGAAAGGCTGCCTCCGCTACCAGCAATACATATACTTACGAGTGTTTATAAAATAAATTGGCAATTCAGCTTCCTTTTAAGAGATACGCTATATTTAACCTTTTATCATGACACCACTAAGTTTCTGGTTTTGTATGTTACCAATTACTTTATATATTAATACATAACTTCAAGAACTGAAAATTATATATTACTGATTTCGTTACAGGGTAGGCTATCCGACCGTGATGGCCGCGCAATAGTGGGTTTCGCTATGGCGCACACTAAGCATGGCGGGATAGTCAGCCCATCAAAAGCGTAGCAACTGAACCTAAACCCAGCCGAAGGCTGGCCAGCAGTGGTCGCCGGCAAGCTCCACCTGAACCCAAGAAAATGAAATAGTTCCCACCCCTCGAAGCAACCGAACTATGTACGATTCAGCGCCGCGCCTACCTCGGCCGAAGACAATGATGATACCTAGTTTACGAGAACCATGCGCAATGGGGATGGAAACACATATACTGAACTAGCTCTTCTTATATCACCGAGAAAGTACAAGTTGCAGCACGTATTAGCACAGAAATTTCAAATATATGGTCTGATTGCCGCCCCATAATTGGCTAAGATGGTCAGGCTATGAATGATTCGGTGGACGAATCGGGAAAAACACTAAAAAGGTCGAATCTGGTTCACCGAGTCCCCACAGAAGCTTTAATCCGGGAATGAACAAAACAGGGAATCGAAAAAGTTAGTATGGAAGCGATGTGCAAGAGCTAGGTCTAGATCGAATATCTCATGACCCAGAAAGAGATATGCGCTTGGAAAAATCCGTCTCACTGGAGATCTAGATGGACTTATGGGATGCAGCCGAGTGGATGGCGGACCCATCCTGGGACGGAAGTTCATCGGGCTTCAGAACCTACCAGGTACTCCGTAGGAGAAGACGTGATGCCACGGCCGCCAAGAGTTTTGCCACCAGGCTTGATCATTCAATGGATGAGTCAAATGTGGATTCTGCATGGGACTTCATGACCAGCGCCATTGCTATCAAAGAAGAAGCCTAGGCGCGTCGACTGCAATAGAGAATATCCGAATGGGGCGGACATCCCTGAGCCCCAGATCATCATGAAATGCAATATCCAAAACCGTGCATTTGCATTTCCCGGATCAGGTACATTGTATCGGAATTACCTGCACAAGCTCCCTTAGGGATAGGGGTTAAGACACAGTTGTGGGTAGAGCGAGGCTCAGCAATTCAATCAAGAAAAGACACATTTTCATTTATTCACTAGCAAATATGTCGGACTTCAGGGGATTGATTCAGCCGATGATTACCACCCCCGAAAATGATTACGACCTTGAAAACATTAGTATTGCAGTGTATGCCACTGAAATGTGGTATACATCCATGCGCAGTATCATTTTTTTCGGTTTTCATCAACTACAATGGTCGTGTTAGCAGTTCCTCCGTTGACCCCAAGGCGTACCGGTATAGCTCTCTAGAACTAGCAGCGAGCGACATCGTTGCTCAAATTTAAAGACAGAAAGTTAGCGCAGTCTAAATAACTTGCCACAGGGATTTTTGGATGCTGGTATAACCGCAGTCAACTTAGTTCAGCGCGATCAGTAATACCAACATGTCCAGTGCAGAGAAAGCTCGCGCTGGATGTGGCTGGGAACTAAATAGCTGCTCTGTCTCGCTAACAGCCTGGTGGATCTTGCTGCGGACACACGCAGGATGGACGCGATACCGGCATGAAGCAGCACGGCAGCGCACTGTGCTCTTCGGTAAAATGCGCTCGGAGATATGAAGCCTCGCACACCGCGGGTAGGTAACTAGTTAGTTATCAGCTGTCCCAGCTCGTTTGCTGAATCATGCTTGGCCCACTGTGGCCGACAAGGCAGCAAGCCAATAACGAAGCGGTGGCTACCGTGCTGTACGTTCGATCTTACAGCAAGTGGGGCCGGTCGGGCCGATTGCATAGTCGTCTCAAGCCCTGGGAGATTTGATCTGACGATGAAGAGCTCGTATCCAAATGAGCGCCAAGTGGGAGAAGATGCTTTGGGCAAGCAGTAGGCAGGGTTAAAAAGTATCCGGTGTAGGAGCTACATCGGGAGTCCGTATTTGCAGGTAGCTGTACAAAAATACCCGGTCTCTCCCAGCTACTCAGCGTTCTAGGCCAACTCTATCAGAAATGAAAGTCGCCAATCACTCCCAATGTTATTGCTAGCTTGACTACAATGAATATCTAAGAGCATAGAATAACTATCATGCCGCTTATCATTATGCAAATTCTGCGCCATATTATGTACGCTAGGCGTACCGGGACAAGCACAGGAGGTTAAATCGTATCGAAGTATCCAGCACAGCAGGATGAGTGCTTTGCTGAACCTAAAGATCTTGCAAATTCCAGAACCACGCTAGAGGGTGCATGAACAACTATACCACTTGGCCACCAAGGCCTTTATGAAGCATTGAATATATCGAGACGCAAGGCAATATCCTGGCTCACAGAACACGTTAGCGCATGTGCTACACATATACGCCTCCAATCCCGACCGTGTAGGTGGAACAAGCACGTCGTATTGCAGGCCCATTGTCTTAACCTATAACTTAAATCTTATAACTTGCAACCACTTAGTCGAGGTAAAGACAATAACTGTCAACCACAGCAGCATGTATTAGTGGAAGAAAATTAACAGACCGCATTTAACTACGCACGCATCGTACATGAAGTAACAAATCACCCGGGCCTAAGGCGATTTAGAGAATCGCAAATTCAATACTGATAGCGTACATGATTTTTCTGAATCCCAACCCCTTTTGCGGCTTCTATACAGTGAAATCTAAGTCTATAATATGTAACACAAGGGGCGCGATGTTGAAGATCAATTAATAGAGAGGAAACGGCAGCGGAGGAGGTGCCTGGCTAGAATGGGAGTCATGAAAGGCTGCTGGCCTGAAGCAGTCGTTCTCAAATGAATTTGACGGCTCATTATTCCATATCCAGGAAGATCCCCAGTCCACCCCTTGAGGCTGGTTTAGAAGCTGGGCTGACGCGTTGTAGTCACTTTGAGTGTCGGTGAAGATGGACGAATAGTATCTCGCCGTCGAAAGACTAAAGCAGGGTTGCGGAAGCTCCGGTGGTAAGTAGCCCTGGCGGCTAGGATCATGCAACAGTTGTTGCTGCACTAGTTTCATGTAGTGTTTCTGAGCATGCTGTATGTCGACCGGTAATGTATCTATTGTGTGTTGCGCTAATATCGGGCCTGGATATTGTACGGGCACTGACGTTACGTGCAGGCTTTGGTCGGTATCAACATCATGAACAGGTGACGTCGTCTGAGTATTTGAGGGCTGTTGGGCCAAGAGATAATTTTCAATTGAGACCGGAACAGCCATTTGACCACAGAATGGGCAATCCGAGAGCAAGCTGTCTGAATGGAATGTATTCACGGGTTTCGGGGGGTGTGACCGTTGCTGATGTTTGGTTAAAGTCTCCTTGCGGCAGAATCTTCACGATGTTAGAAATCCAGCAGTACTATAAACAGGTAAAGGCTTACGTTTTCTTGCATGTTGGCTCCGGACAGATAAATGGCCTATCGCCTGTATGAATCCTGCGATGACGGGCAAGACTTGATGACTGTGGTGGTTAGAACTCAAGATACTACCGGTGACAGAGAATGGTGCATACGTCAGAAAAGGCTTTGTGGCACCCACCGTGTTCACACACATAAGGCTTCTCCCCCGTATGTGTCCGCAAATGTACCTTCCATGAACTTTTCTGGGTGAAACGTTTATTGCAGTCGTTGAAGGTGCAGAGATACGGCCGTTCGTTGGTGTGTATCCGGCGATGCCTGAGCAGGTCCGCTTTGCGGTTGAACCCCTATTACTGTGAGCGTGGAGGGAACTCACTTTGACATACTGAATATTTATTGAAATAGAAAGTGACATGGAAAGGCATATGAGAGTATCTGTACCTTGATACATTGCTTCCAAGTGCAGTAAAAAACACGTCCACCATTGAATTCCATGGTTGAGAGGATGAGACGCTAAGTCACGGGCACGATATTGGGGAGTTGCCCGATAGTAATTAGTGGCACAGGACAAAAAAAGATGCAATATTCCAGGAGGCTGTTGCGGCAGATGCCAATGAGATAAGAAATCACAGGAACAAACATAATGAGGGAACTAAACTCAATTATATACTCACTTTGGGAGCGACCACAGAAGTAAACATAGAGAAGATGCAGGTGACAGAGCGAGAAGTGGCTCCAAACACGGCAACCAGCTTCGGGAAAGCGAAATGAAATAAAAGAAAGGGACAGGAAACAAGTCGTATCGGGGAACAGGAACGTCCCCGGAGTAATGTCCTGATGCATGTAGCCTCAACAGTAAATCCCGAAGGTATGTATACTCTGGCTGGTTGTGCAACCGACAGTAGACTCATTAACAGACTAAAGGGAGAGGCGCAGTAAA